CAGGGAACACAACCAAATTAACACTAACAGCCTCTTTTGAAGCTATCATAGAAGCAGACACATTACTTTCTGCTTTTCTGCTTGGGAGTTAAGCAGAGAAACAAAAAATAAAGGCTGAGAGTGCTACTTTAATTGCTTATGAATTTTCAGTGTTTTATTTCTCAAAGGAGGTATCTGTTTTTGGATCTTAATAACCTGCTTGGATGTTTGCGCACTTCAGCCCATGACAGTTTTCTCTGTAGGAAATGCTTTCTGATGGTTAAATTGTTGTATTTAAATATTTTATTTGCTTAAACTTAAGCAATAAGCACACAATGAGAACACAACTCAGAATTGCTACTACTTTCAAGACCATTTGGTATTTCTACCAAGAAGAGTGTATCACAGTATTTATCTATAATAATAGTAGTAATTGAGATTTACATTTTCTTAGGAAAATGTAATGACAGGGTGAGTCTTTTTGAAACTTCAGAACAACTAAACCAATTCCTTTAAAAATTATTCACTGATTTGAACAGATTCTAAAATTGTTGAAGCAATAGAGACTGTAAATGCACAGCAAAATATATATTTAATGGCATGTTTTCCCAAACAGTTGAAGCACCTGGGCATTATGTGGACTATATTACCACCTAAATAATTTTTACTTGTAAAAAAAAAACCTTTAACAAAGCAAACATAGAGGTTACAGTTAAGCGCTTATAAGGATTTAAAAGCAGAAATATGAAGCTTATAATTTTATATAGGCAATTAACATAAATTTTTTTTCTGTTAAAACTTGACTAAAGTCGTACAATTAAATGCTACTTAGCAGGCAATTTTTTCATAATAAAATCATGTTAACACCCATATTGTTTACTCCTTGTGGCTATACTATTAAAGCAGTGTTTTAATGTTTACAGATTGGCCTCATTCACCTTTATTGTAAGTGCCTCACTGTGACTGTAACCCAGATTTTTTTGCTTTTTAAAAAAAGGATGGACAAGCCGAAATGAATTTTTATGGTAATCAACATTATTCCAAAAAGGCTGTTGATTGAGCCAAACCCAGGAAATTCCTTTAAGGCACATTGGTGTCAATCTTCTAGCAGCAGTACCATCTTGAGGACATCCTTCCCTACTTTCTATCCTCCCTGTTATTCCAGTGATGTAAAAGACTGCAGTAAATTACTTTGCGGTATGCCAGGTGTTCTCCACAGTGCATCTGCGCTCTGACAGACTGCACTGCGCGGCAGACGAACTCGCGATGAGTGTGCTCCACACGTCCCTCTCAGCCCGAGAACATAATTACACCTCCCATTGAGCCCTTTTCACGGCCTGCTAATTGACTGCCATTTCAGTCAGCAGACGACAGGCTGGATGGAGCTGTAGTTCTGGTTCGGGGAACATGGGAGTATTTGCGGGCCGTCCCCGTCTTAGGTAGTGAGCAAGGAAGTTCAAGGTTAGACAACATCCGCTGTGTAATTGTGGGCGTTTAGGAGGAATTATCATAATGGGCAGACTCGTATCATTAATCTCTGTTCTGTTGTTGTGGATTTTTTTATTATCAGAGTCTTAATGTGATGATTATGAATGAGATCAGATGTGCACGCTTGTCTTTGCTTTAATAGCACTACTTCAGTTACAAATAGGCCGGTCGAGTTTGAGTTTAGAGATGCAGAATGTGGCGGTGGATGTTTGTATAAATTGAAGCTTTTCACACAGAGCGGTCGTGATGTAATTTAGGTAGTTCGACTAGAAATGGCACTGATATGAGCCCTGTTTAGATTCTGAAGAAGATACATTTAAAAATAAGCATGGCCCAGAGCCAGTGTGAATGAGTGAATTCTAATGGTGTCCCAGGAAACAGTCATCATTGTCCCAATGTTTCGTAGATTTGTGTTTACTATATACTTATACACTGCTTAGGGGTCTAGGGAGTGAAATGAAACAGGTGGGGATTTGTCAAAGTGTGCAAGTGACTTGTGATAGTCTTTGCATCAGTTGGAAAGTGTTGGTATAAATAAATCAATATTGTTTTGCAATGTATTTCATCATATTCCAGCAAAAGTCTAAATAACAGGGATACATTATAGCTGGCATGAAATATTTCTTTAAAAATAAATTTAAAATGGCTGCTGAAAATTTGTTTTTGCCATTACAGGAATAATGGACATTTTAAAGTAGTGTGTATTTAAATCTAAAACAGTTTTTAAATTGTAATAATATTACACAATATTGCTGTATTTAGTGTATTTTTGATCAAACAAATGCAGCTTTGGTGCACTTTTCTCCATTTCTGTGTGTATATATATATATCAGCTGAACTGAATGTGAACTACTGGCCCAAAAATCCATATTTTGTTGAGGCCTATATAGACTTTTTCCATGTTGCCTTTTCTGTTTCATTGAGAACACTGGATGTTTTGAATAAAATATTAATCATGAGTAAATTTATATGCACTCTGGCCCTTGAATTGATTGAAATGATTGCAGACTCAAATCATTTTGATTCAGTTTTACTGATGGATCCCCTATCAGTAGAAATCCTGAGGAGAGGGAGAGTGGGAGAAAGTTAAAAAGGAAAGATAGAGCTGAGTTGAGCTGAGCTGTGCCTCCTAGGAGCCGCTCAGGGCTCTAGCCTCACTGATAACCTTCTCCTTATGCAAAGCCATGCACTGGCTGCAGCCAAGGGATTGAGCTCAAGAGCACTGTGTGTGTGTTCGTATATGTGTGGAGCTCTCCTCTCAGTTTAGCACTCTACTTCATGAGTGACTGAAAGTAGCTTTAAATGCACTCAGAGGAGAGTGTCATGAGTGTACTGGGCTGTATATCAATTCTAGATACAGTTAAACTGGTCTAAAATTATCATTAGTTGGTATCGCAGAGTGTGTAATAATACAAATTCATAATAGATGAGCAACACAAATCAGAAATAATATTGCATAGTTTCTACTTTATATTTCGTTGTTTGTGTTTGTAAAAGGTCTTTAATAGATGTTTGTAAAAAGATAAGAAATGTTTCTTGAGCACCAAATCAGCGTATTAGATGATTTCTGTAGGATCATGTGACACTAAAGACTGGTGTAATGGCTGCAAAAATGTAGCTTTGCCATCACAGTAATAAATTACATTTTAAAACATTAAAATAGAAAATTGTCATTTTAAAATGTTAACAATATTTCAGCAAATGACTGTTTTTACTTGATTTTTATTAAATAAATACAGCCTTGGTAAACATTAGAGGCTTCTTTTCTAAACATTAAAAAACCTTAGTGACCTCAATGGTAGTGTGTGTGTGTATATGTGTGTGTGTGTGTATATATATATATATATAATCAGGAATAAAAAAAACAAAAAATATACTATTTATGAAAAATGTCCCTCAACATAACCTATTTAAGGCTATACAACTCTGAATGGTACTGCAGTGCTAAGTACTCGGAGCTTCCAAAGACTCATGGAGGCAGCTAAATTACTTTTGACAAGAAGAAATGATAAAAGAAAACATGATCTGGTCTCATTTTGAAAGACGAGTGAAAATCTGATTATTATTTCAACAAAGCAGCATCAGGTTTTCTTTTTATTGCAAAACTCATTGGAATGCGCCACTCTTGGAAGATGGTCTTATCTGTGATAGACAAGTGGATAACCCTTGCTGTGATATAAGCACTATTTTAAAGACGTTCCCTGTTATTCCTCGGCCATTAAATGTGTTCAATAGATTGGTTTTCCCTTATGTTCATAATAACAGAAATGCAAAACTAAGATAGGAAACAGATATGTGAATAAAGGAAAGAATATATGAGGAAAGCATTAACAACTAAAATAAATGACTAAACTGAGTGAATTTAGATATTAGAAATGCACAGGCTCTGTAAAAAGCTGCACAAAACCCCTCCTAAACCATTAGCAGACCATATATGCACAGAACCTCTGTGAAGTTGAAAGGATTTATAATCAGAGATGAAAGAAGTTCAGATAATGTTGTATCCTCCCTCAGCTTTAGCGCCAAGTTACTCTGCTTTTGATTTATCCAGCATATGAACAGATTTCTGTTTTTCTGTTCATTTATTGATGACTGAAAATGCCAGCTGGAAAATTAAACCATGAAAGTAAAGTGTTCTCTCTCTCTCTTTTTTTCTTACCTAGGCTGGAAAGCTGGCAATGGATCGAGGATGGGCAATAAATGTGGGTGAGTTCTTTCTCTAATGTTCCCGATCATCACTCGAAAAACAATTGCCAAGAGAATAAGTGCATTTTACTGTGGCTTATGGATTTGCTGTGTTCCCTGCATATTTGATTCCATCTCAGACAAACTATTGATCATTTAAAGTAGATTTGATTCTCAAACATCCTGATATTACATAGTCACAACAAATTCCCTCTAATTTTGTCAGCGTTCAACTGACATTGAGCGGGGAAAAAATGGAAAAAAAGAGCAAAGAATATGTTATAATTACATAAAATAAATAATATTTTTATTATTATTTAAAATATATTTTTAAAATAGTCATGTTCCACTGGTAGCCCTAGACTCTTTAATATTAAGATGTAACAGGGTTGTTCTCTTGGTAACTTCAAAATTCCCCAAAGATAAAAAAAAGTGATACAATCCCTGCCAGTACGAGACTCGAACTCGCAACCTTTGGGTTACGAGTCCAACTCTCTAACCATTAGGCCACGACTTCCCCCCATGGCTATGTATCAATGCATTCACTATTCTATTCACATCCTCGTTTCTGAAGAAAGTGGGAGAAAAAGCGTGGCTCCTGCTAGCTCAGCCATTTCCTTCTTACCGCTGAGAAACAGAGCCACTCTTTGCCTCTGCATTGCTAAACATTAATAGACAACCGACGACTATTCATTCAAATGCACGCGTTGTTCTCTGGAGGGTGTTGCACAGTAATTGAAAGGTGTGAATCAGCAAGCGGGGTCGTGTGAATAAGCAATAAATGCTAATCAGCAACCGGCCCGCTTCCGGAGTGCAAAGTCATTTAATGAGGCTAAATGTGGCAGGTCATGGGAGGACAGATCAGATCTGTTGCCTGAATGTATAAATACGATCCTAATTAAAAACTAGTCTTTCAATCACCCACATTTTGTGGGAACATTCAGATGGAAATCTTCTGGTGGCACTGGAATACAGGCGCCATTTTTATGCACTGAGCTGTTTTTAAGGCTCTATTCTGCTTTATGCAGGAGGAGGCTTCCACCACTGCTCCAGTGACAAAGGAGGAGGTTTTTGTGCCTACGCTGACATCACACTAGCGATCAAGGTGAGATGTTTGCATCAAAACATTAGAGATTGCAAAATGGGCCTCTATAAGAAATGTATTAGTCATCTAAAACAGTTGTAAATAATGTGAATGAATTATGAATAACATGGCAGTTAAACAGTTTAAATCTTTGACCAGTTGCTGACTGAAATTATGATGACCAATGTCAAAATCTAATATTGCTGAGTGAATAGTTATTTTACTCAACTCTTTTTATCCAGATTCACTTAAAAATATATTTTTATTAATAAATATGAAAAATAATGCCATATATTTAAACTAATTGAAAATAGTCTTTAAATGCATATACAGTAGTCGGTGGAGTTTTTTGAATTACATGAATTCAATCATCTCCAAATGATCAAATATAGTGTTGTTTTACCACTGTAACTTTACCACTCTTATTCACCTGCTGTTGTTATTGGCTAACATTTTTACTTTGTAAATGAGCATTTTGGGGTTGTGGATTTGCTTATCATATTCAGTATAGTTTCCATTTGGTATTGTTAAGAAATAATATAATTTTATTCTATTTAAGAAATAAACAGACTAAAGATAAGAGGATTACTTACATAAACATGTCATTAAACCGTTTACAATCCAGCCTCTGAGTTTTATTAAACCATCCTGCACAGACTCATGGGTACAGATATCATGTTCGGCATCTCTGTACCATCTTTTTACTGAAACTCATCCATTGATTTCTTTTTTCCACATTCATTCCCTTCTCAGATTGTTGCCATGTCATGAGATCCACAAACATCTCTGCAATTTGTTCCTCTTTCAGGCACAACCTAACTGCCTCCCTTGTGTGTTTCCCTCTGCAGTTTCTCTTTGAGAGGGTGGAAGGAGTTGCCAGGGCCACCATCATCGATCTAGATGCCCATCAGGTGAGCAGTCCTTTTCCAACTTCACTCTGTCAGTCAATGGAATTGACGCCGTAGATGAGATAATACCCCCTTTTTGGAGGCGAAATCAATAACTCTGCACTCTGATTACTTGTATGCAACAGCTTTGACTCTTCTGCAGCTGAAACATGCTTTCTTTTGTTGTCATGACTCCGTTAGTGTTGGCTGTTGAGTGTGTCATTAGAATGATTGCCATGGCAATCACTACTCAATTATAGAAATGCTATTTTTCTGGGCTGTCAAGTTTGTTATGATATTGTACATGCTCTTATAGTGTGTAATGAGGTAATGGCTTTTTCTGTAGTTTCTGTAGATCCAGAAAAAATAATTTTGCATGATATGACCCCTTTAGAGACCAGATATGAATATTGTAAGAAGCCACTCTGTTGGTCTTAGCAGCAGTAGAATATGTCATATCCAATGCAGTGCTGAGATGGTAAATTATCCCACTCATTAATAAAATATGACCCTTCTTTAATCATTCTCACTAAATTACAGGTTTTATGATCCTTAACCAAGAGTGTAGACTTCACATGGATATCAGCCATATGCCAGTCATTGATTTTATGCTTATCATCTTGATATTTGCTTGGTCACAAGTGTTTATAGGCTGACTTACAAACTAATTAACACCAAAGCAGCTAAGCAAGCACTTGTGAGAATGCATGTTCATTGTGACCTAGCTTCTCTCTGTGGACATTGGGGATTGTGAAGGTGAGCAGAAAATATTTGGTTTGACGTCATGGTCACCCGAGCGAGAGGAGAGCTGGATGAAGCGAAAGAGACAAGGAAGTGCTTGATGAGATAACAGAATTAAAAAAGAGAACTGTCTCACAACCAAGGACTCTGAGGTAAAGAGTTGAATTAAGAAGCAGAGCTCTAAATGGGCAATCAGCTGCAAAGAGTTTCAGATGACAGCTGTCACACTCATCACTTCTGAGACATCTGTAATTCTTTATGTTTCAGGTTTTCAGTGAGGTAATATGGGTGCTTTATAGTTTTTCAAGATAATTTGAATCAAGAAAGCAAAATATATGTCACCTATAGTGAAAGATCTTTGCTGAAAAAAATGAAATGAACTGAAATTTTTCCATCAGTTTTGATATGTTATGGTTAACCATGGCTGTTTAATTTTATTTTACCTCATTATTTTTTTATTAAAATCATGTCATAACTTGATCTTCTAGTAAAATGACTTCTCTCTGGTACTGTGTGCCGGAACCCTGTCCCTTTATATTTAGTCCGCTTGAACCCTGTCCCTTTCTTACAATCGAGCAGTGTAGGTGTAGAAATATTCATATTGAACCACAATTGAGTTATTATTATTTTTTAATTATAATGATAATTGTGATCACAGTTGTTGTCTTAATTAGTGATAAACTTATATATATCTGCTATAGGATGTTAAATCAGATGATATTTGGCTGTTTTAAGACTGTCACCCTCTTGCCGATAAGCAAAAGTTTGTTAGTTGCAGATCTGTCAATTAATAATTCACAATTTGTTTTTTATTATTTACTTATTTATTTCAAAGTTGTACATTCCAACATTCCCATCATTGTTGTTGAGCATGTTCTTCAATCCCATTTTTGGGGGTTGGGCTCTTGATCGCCCATCCCCCACTGCTAAACTGCAAATCCTGTAGAAATGTAATCACCCTTTTGTTATATATTTTTATTATATATATATATACATATATATTTGTTATTTATTTATGTATTTATTTATTGCTATAATTAAATTGCATATATAAGTTTGCTGTTTTTGAAAGAATTCTCTTGCTTACCAAGTCTGCATTTATTTGATGAAAAATACAATAAAAACAATAATACTGTAATTTATTTTTACAATTTAAAATAATTGTTTTCTATTTAAATATATTTTAAAATGTAGTTTATTAATATGATGGCAAAGCTAAATTTTCATCCTGATCATTGTAATATGCTGATTTGGTGCTTAAGAGACATTTCTTATTATCATCTATGATGAAAACTGTTGTACTGCTTAACATTTTTAGTGGAAACCAAGATTTAAAAAAAATAAAAATCCCCATTGTTGCATTATAAGTTAAGGATGTATTTACTGTCACTTTTGATCAATTTAATGATTCCTTGTTAAATAAAAGTATAAATTTCTTAAAAAAAAAAAAATATGAATGACCCCAAACTTTTAAACTATAGTCATTATATCAGCCAGCCATTTCAGTCGAATACTTGCCTTAGAGGCACAATATGTACGATTTTTTTAATTAAAATATCCAAAAACCACTAGAACAGTGTTATATATTTTGCTGACTTGTGTACTTACATTATCCCAAATGTTTCGAAGAATGTTTAAATCCAGAGAAATAAGCAATTTTAACTAGTGACACAGACCGTGTCCATAGTGTCATTGTGTCGCCTGCCAATGACGTCATAACCCCTCGATTTCCGTTTTGTAGAAAACATGGAAACACCAAAGACTCTTTAATATGTTGTGCGTTTTAATAGACCGGTGACGACCGCACAGAGTAGCATTATAACAGAACTTTCAAATGTATCTAGTATGTTAAAACAGCACTGCTTTTTCCCCCACATACACACGACCGGAAGGAGCGGAAGTGGTTGACTGTGGCATAATAAAAGCTCCGCTGCTTTCGAGCCATGTGTCGCGCTCATTCAGCACCTCGTTTCGCTTCAACTGCTTTCAGCCTCACCCTGCTTCATTCTACTACGTTAATAAATCATTAGCTCATCCATGAACATGATTTCTGCCCGAGTCCCGTCGGATTGCATCAGCTGTGGGGATGAAGACCACAACTCCCATGATTCCACACTCAGTCACGGCGTCATCAAACTATGCCTTTGTCTATTTGTTTATCTTGAATACGTGCCCTCCAGCGGCGAAAATTACATATTGTGCCTTTAACAGATGCTTTTATCCAAAAGTGGAACTAAAGCAAGTTGTCAAGGATCCAACAATATCTGTAATATACAGTGCCAGGTTTATTTGACAACTAGATTAGGAAATCCAGGGACAAAAAGAGCCATCTTATTGTTAGAATAAAATTACTGATTGGGGTTAAATTAGGGAATAAAATACTCCCTAAAATACTCCCTAAAATAAAATGCTAAAAGGTATGTAAAGTTGGTAGTTAAAGTTTTTCATTATAAAGTTATTCCACACATTTATGAGACTATGACTTCAGAGCAGGTCACTGCTGCAGACTAATAATTTTTTACTGACAAGATAAAATATTGAATCCTTAATGACTGCACTACACTTGAGCGCAAAGACTATTACTGACTGAGAGAAAGAATCTTTTAGTGGCTGTGTGACCACACATAGGCTTCTGCCAATTAGAAATCACATCTATTTTTATTCACTACTGAGATTTGGGTGTAATGATGTCATGAATTATTTCTGCAAACATCCATTCCGACAAAAAAGTATTAATTTGGTGTTTTAATTTGATTCCAGAAGCATGATTTAACACACTTTCTGTTGTGTTGGGTTTGCATGCTCCCACCCATGTGAAAGTCAAAGGCAGCAGAAGCCGAGAATCTGTCTCCGACCTCCACGCTTATGTAACAGTGTCACATCAGAGAGGCCCCTTGTGTGTCATGCTGTTTTCTCAATTCTCCCTTATTCTCTAGCTGTCATCCAAACCTGATGACAATGTTCTACTTACCGTTCTTTGGTTATTTCTCTATTCTTATGCTATGAGAAGAATTCTCCGCAGACCCACAACAAAATGGATCATCGTTTGTCTAAAACTGTGGGATATGCACCTGTATGCCTGACTAAGTAATATGTTTTTGGAGGGCTATTTCTCAGGTGGTTGGTTGGATATTAGGTGAAGCTGGGTTAATTACACGTGTAATGTTGGTGAGGCCTCCGGTAATAGATACTGTTTATAGTCTAACCACACGTTAGAACACAATTTGGTTTGAAAAACACCTTGAAGGTGGCTCCTTTTCACTTACTAAAACCTCTCAGAAGTTAAGATGCTAGAAAAGCAACTTGATCATTTGTTGACGAATTTACTGAATTAATTATGTTGTAATTAAAAACACTGCCATTGAAAAGTTTGGGGGGTTTTTTGGGTTAAGATTTTTTTTTGTTATTTTAATGTTATTTACAATTTCTTATGCTTGCTAAGGATGCAGCTGTTTGCTCAAAAAACTGTTAAAACAGTAATATTGTAAAATAGTATTGCAATTTAAAATAACTATTTTTAATATATTTTAAAATGTGATTTATATCTGTGATGGCTGAATTTTCAGCAGATATTAAATCATTCTAATGCTGATTTGGTGCTTAAGAAACATGTTTTCTTATTATCAACGTTAAAAACTGTTCAGTATTTTCTGTGGAAACCATGATTCATCTTTTTCAGTATTCTTTGATGAATAGAACGTTGAACAGCATTTATTTGAAATATAAATCTTTTGTAACTATTTAAAAGATTTTACTCTCACTTCTAAAGAAGTAATGCATCATTGCTGAATTGTTTCTTTCAAAAAAAAAACAAAAAAAATCACACTGATGCCAAACTTTCAAACAATAGTGCAAATAAAAGAAAAGCAAATATCAGAGACTTTGAGTTTACTGAAGGAGTATTTGCGGTTTTAAGCATACCTTGAAATGGTCTTTTCATGCTTTCAGCCTTAGGGATTGCTTGAGAGCAAGTACCATCCTGCATCATAAACATAGAGGATTATTTTGTTCTACGTGGTGAAAATAACTGCTCCTATTTTCTGTTTTACAGAATCCATGAAATAAGAAAGGTCTCAAAAGGAGTCTCAAAGTTCAGTTGAGTGTTAAATCCTTGGTGCAGGTATGGTGAAACAATTTATTTTTTAATACCATTTAGGCTAAATGCTTTTTTCCCAGAAAAGTTCATACTTTTGCTCTAAAAGCAAGTACCATGAGCACTGCTTACATATAGAGTTAAGGAACACATTGTAAACTGTAAAGTCCCCCCCCCTCCCCTTTTTGAGCCTGTAATGGCTTTGCCTCAAGGAACATATGAAACCTTGGATGACATCCCAGCCCATGTGTGGAAGGGGCTGCCAAACAGCATGAAGCTGGGACCATCAGCTGTCAACCCCAATCGCATTGGTGAGCAACAGCATGGTTGAGTACTTGTAAATGACTGTGTTAACGAGAAGTTGTGTGTTCATTATTAGCATTAATATTCATTAGTATTTTATGCTTGATGAAAGCCTATGAAATGCTCCGAATCTTATTTTGTTTGATGTTTGAAATCGAGAATGCGCAGCACGCTGTGGTGGTGCCCTAGAAATACACAGATAAATGATTAATATCGAATATGCTTCAAAAATGTCTCTCTGAGAGTGTCTCTGGAGATCTTAAAGTGGCTCATTCTGATTGAGGATTCAAGCTCAAAAACCCGTCCAGAAAAAAAAAGAATGTATAGAGAAGACAATAAAGTTTGTGTTTCCAATGTTTGCTTGCATAAGATTTCTCATGCTGTCCATGTCTTTCTATAGGTGTCTGGGCATCTAGATTAATACCTAAAGGCAAAAGGTTTGGACCATTTGTGGGAGAACGAAAGAAGAGATCTCAAGTGACGAGCAATGTTTACATGTGGGAGGTACGTATTAGACACCACACACAGGAAACTCTAGTTCTGCCTGACTAGAAGTCTGAATACACTGATGAGCACAAAGCTTGTTTGGACCAATATACACTACCGTTCAAGAATTTGGGGTCTTGTAAGATTTGAATGTTTATGAAAAAGACTCTTATGCTCACCAAGTCTGCTTTTATTTGCGGTATTGAAAAATACCGTAAAAACAACAACCCCAAACTTCTGAATGGTAGTGTATGTTTTAGCAGTGGTCTTTAATTAAATGCATTTTGTTTCATTATCATTAGGTATATTTTCCAGCCTCGGGGTGGATGTGTGTAGACGCCACGGATCCAATGAAAGGAAACTGGTTGCGGTATGTGAACTGGGCACGCTCTTCTCAAGAGCAAAACCTCTTTCCACTGGAGATCAACCGAGCTATTTACTACAAAGTGTTAAGGGTAGGTTAACCTTTAAGATGTGATGAATTGGTTTGAGTTTGACCATGTTAGGTTATGACTGCAAAGAGCCTGGAGGAGATACATACGGCGGAGTGGTACGCTAGTAAAGGGGTTTTCAAACTTTTATATGTGGTGGAACCCAAAATAATATGATTCCCTTGCAGGGTACACTTTTCCTAAAATACTAATCAGCTGTACTACTGCTCAAAAGTTTGGGTTCAGTAATATATACATATATATTTGTTATTTATTTATGTATTTATTTATTGCTATAATTAAATTGCATATATAAGTTTGCTGTTTTTGAAAGAATTCTCTTGCTTACCAAGTCTGCATTTATTTGATGAAAAATACAATAAAAACAATAATACTGTAATTTATTTTTACAATTTAAAATAATTGTTTTCTATTTAAATATATTTTAAAATGTAGTTTATTAATATGATGGCAAAGCTAAATTTTCATCCTGATCATTGTAATATGCTGATTTGGTGCTTAAGAGACATTTCTTATTATCATCTATGATGAAAACTGTTGTACTGCTTAACATTTTTAGTGGAAACCAAGATTTAAAAAAAATAAAAATCCCCATTGTTGCATTATAAGTTAAGGATGTATTTACTGTCACTTTTGATCAATTTAATGATTCCTTGTTAAATAAAAGTATAAATTTCTTAAAAAAAAAAAAATATGAATGACCCCAAACTTTTAAACTATAGTCATTATATCAGCCAGCCATTTCAGTCGAATACTTGCCTTAGAGGCACAATATGTACGATTTTTTTAATTAAAATATCCAAAAACCACTAGAACAGTGTTATATATTTTGCTGACTTGTGTACTTACATTATCCTAAATGTTTCGAAGAATGTTTAAATCCAGAGAAATAAGCAATTTTAACTAGTGAGACGGACCGTGTCCATAGTGTCATTGTGTCGCCTGCCAATGACGTCATAACCCCTCGATTTCCGTTTTGTAGAAAACATGGAAACACCAAAGACTCTTTAATATGTTGTGCGTTTTAATAGACCGGTGACGACCGCACAGAGTAGCATTATAACAGAACTTTCAAATGTATCTAGTATGTTAAAACAGCACTGCTTTTTCCCCCACATACACACGACCGGAAGGAGCGGAAGTGGTTGACTGTGGCATAATAAAAGCTCCGCTGCTTTCGAGCCATGTGTCGCGCTCATTCAGCACCTCGTTTCGCTTCAACTGCTTTCAGCCTCACCCTGCTTCATTCTACTACGTTAATAAATCATTAGCTCATCCATGAACATGATTTCTGCCCGAGTCCCGTCGGATTGCATCAGCTGTGGGGATGAAGACCACAACTCCCATGATTCCACACTCAGTCACGGCGTCATCAAACTACGCCTTTGTCTATTTGTTTATCTTGAATACGCGCCCTCCAGCGGCGAAAATTACATATTGTGCCTTTAACACATCATATCCTTCCTTTAATTAGTGTGAATCAACATGTTTCCCTTAAATTTGCAGTTTATTGCACTCTCCTTCCTAATGAGTCTACTCCTTTGCTAATTAGCCCAGCCTATTAATTAAGTTCTCACGGACCCAGGAGTTGTTGTTCCTGATAATTTTGGTGTTACAGTAGCACATAAAACTGGCATAAGCATTTTTAAGTGTGGCTTGATTGTAATTATAGTCTTTTGCTCATCGACTAAGCCAACAAGATCAGGTCAATACCATTGCCGGGTGAATAATTCATGGAGGGCCACAAGCAGAACAAAGGTGGGAATCTTCATGTTGGCATATAAATGTGCCTGAAAGCGCTGTCTCAGCTGGGTTTAATGGCTGTGAAAATAACGAGAGGGGAGACGTTACACTGGACTTGCGTAATATTCACCAGGCCACAGTCTGTGTAATTCATCAGACATCAATTTCCCACTCATCTCAAGACCTACCTCCAGGCCTTATTTTTGCTGCAGCATTTATCAGTCAATATGACTATGGGGATTTACAAAATAATCCCAGCATCTCTTAGCATCTTTCTGATTTTGTTTTTATAGTTCATGATAACGTAATATCTTCTTATATCCACAGATAGAGACAGCATCTCTATCACCTCTTTAAGTGCCTGCAGAGAACTAAAGAGGATGAATCTACATGACAACAATGAAATGGTCCATCTGACATTTCCAGCATGTGCTTATATTAGTAAACAAGCTGTTGGGCGTTACAGTTCCAAGGTGATTGCAGACTTGATCTCTGATGCAGAAATATTGTACCTTCCGTCCTCTGGTCTTATAATAGCATTGACGCATTAGCTAATATTACCGTTCTGTAACCGTTCACCTCTACTAGAGACCATCGGTGCAACTTAAGGGCTGCTGCATGTTCAGTAATCACTCCTGTATATATTATTAATGTAAGCTGCCTGTTAGATTTCAGAGGACCAAACTCAAAATTGCTACATGGATATCTTTTTGCCAGCAGCAAGGTTTTACTGCTTGAGTGCACAGATGGTGCAGACAGGAGAATGTGAATGTGTCCCTAACGCGTGGTTCATAGTCTCGTAATTGGCTAACGGTTGCTTTAAGCAGAGAGACAGGACTGTTTTGGAATAAGAGGCTGGAGTTGTACACATGAGTTGTGGGCCTTGCAGCAGTTTTAAATTAAAAGTGACAATAGCCAGACGCTGTACGTGACAGATGAGGAGGATGGAATGAAGAGAGATGGAAATGTTATGTCTTCAGAACACAGAGCTCAACACTTAGCAGAGGAGAGCTACGGAAAAGCTCATCTTCGCATCTCTCGCTGTCAGTCATGCTCTATTTCAAAAACAAAAGCAGTTGCACTCGCATTGGACACATGTAATACACTGTATTGTAGTAACTATTGTTGACAAGCTGTTTCGAGATTTTTGTGAGCTGAGTGAGTGAACAGTTTTGTAAAATACATGAAATACAAGTTGTGAAATACATCTCTTTACCCAAAATGTCCTGCCGTCTGTCTCCATGGGATACATGGATATGCCAAAAGGGATGCAAAAAGAATTATTTTATTTTTGTTGTTTTTCTACAAAATTCCAAAAAATAATTTTAAAAAGATAATTTACTTGAAGCAAAATTAAGTTTATTAATTTTACCTGAAGAGCTTTCTAATGAAAATTTGTCTTTTACTGCCGTATTATTATTATAATTATTATCATTATTATTATTATTAAGGGTGGAATTGACACAGGGGCTGATTTTGATGATTTTGATAATTATCATATTATTAACAAATGAATAATACAATTATTTTGTAATTATTGTTTAAATTTGTACACATTTTTACTTTCCAAGAAACACACTTGTTTTATGGTTTATTCTTTGTTTTGAGGATGTATATGTTTTTTTTAATGGAAAACAAGATGACAAAATATGCTTTTTTGCAGCATTTAAGCTGGGATTTCACCCACTGAGTTCTGCAGATTTTCACAGATTTGAACCCTTATTATTCTTTGCATGCTGACATATTGAATATTCTTATTTAATATAGTAATTTCAGCTCATTGTAACACATTTGGCTGTGTTAAAATCCATTATGTAGAGTTCAGCAGATTTTCTCCTAAAATCACCAATCATTTTTGTGTTAACCACTAGACCATATATTTATTAAATATATTTAATTCACTGTAGTAAGTGAAACCAGCTGCAACATTAATCTTAGTTGTAGTTATTAGTCCAAAACCAGGAATCCACATAATATGAACTTAAATTTGCTCTTTGATGCATATTGCAGGGAAACGGCCACGAGCGGGATTTCCTGGAAGACGGACGCGTTTACATAATGGATGTCTATAATCGCCACATCTATCCAGGAGATGGATATGCAAAGAGTGAGTTAATGTGCATTTGAGTGTGTAAATGGGGATTTGAAGTGATCCTGATTATGTAAAGATATCCTGTCCCACAGTCATACGAGAAGCTGCAGCGATTTGGATCATGGTTATCTGACTAATTTAGCCTGGACTTGCTCTTTATTTGCATATCTATACAAATTCATGCCTACACACACTCTCAAGTAATGGCATACTGAGGTGAAGGCAGATGAAAGGAAATGAAAGAATGCATGTCACCCTTCTGACGGTTAGAGCTTTCGCTCTCCTACAGGGGGCAGTGTCCTGCAACCCTCATGCTACTATACTTGTACTGTATGCTTGTATCTTATTTTTATCATACACATTTCTAGTGTTACCTTAACACCCTTCTTTGTGAAAATATTTGTTTTTCTCTTACATCTATGTGTACCTTCTTAAACATTGCTTCTGATACAAATATTTTCTCACATCTACATGCCAGTTATTTTATTTTTGGGCATCATTTATTGTACATATATCTTAACATTTGAAAGCCTTGGCTTACAATGATACAGTATTCAAATTCAAATTGACCGTTGATGTCTGTAACAAAGTTATCAGGTAGTCACAGGAAGAAGGAGGCAGGAACCGGCGAACATTTAAACACTTTAATAAAATAAACAAACACAAAATGAAAGTAAAGCGGCAGCCTCTCGCGGACGACTGCCGCACACAAAACACAAAATAAAATCCAGGCCTGGTCCTCTCTCGTCCAACACTGTCGTCACTCCTCCTTTTATCCTTCCGGAGCTCCTCCATGGGACTCGAGACCGGTGAGTGGCACAGGTGTCATGCATTAGCATATACTCCACCGGCCTCGCTCCGTTCCCATGGCTCTCGGCCCCGCCCCTCTCGTCACAATGTCATTGTCTTTTGCATACTGAATGGTGATTGGTCTACTTTTTCTGCCTTGCATGCACTGATATTTCCTTCAGGAAATGTTTTGATTGATATGTTGGATATCAAAGAAACAGCCCACAGTGGTTTGAAGGAATGACTGACAACACGCTTCAACTGGCACCGATATGGTCACATTATAATCTTCGTCAATTAACGCATCCGTTATCTGCACTCTTCTAACTCGCTCTGTCAAACATTTGAGTAGGAGTGACAGAAATATTGCTGTTCTGTTCAGCTTCAATGCACACTGTGCGACAACTTGTCAAATCTGAGATGATTTCATTAATGCATTTACATACCGTAACCAGCTAAACATAAGGTTTTATAAACGTATAATATTGCTCTATTGAAGGCACATCCTGGCTTCTCATGATAAGTTTTACATGACCTTACTTTCCTTAAAATTTTCATTAGTTTTTTTTTTTTTTTTTCTAAACCATTTTCCCTCTGTGACTTCTCAGTATATTCAAAAGAGAACGTACCACTGTTTTCTGACTCTGCCTGGAAAGGCACAAGAGACTAATTAGGTCTTAATTTGCCTTTAAACCAGGCTTAAATAAACGAAAGAACATCTTGCATTAGTTTTTACCTTTTTAAAGTAAATAGTTAATTCTTTTCAGCTACATCCACAGCAAATTTGGTGAGAAAAGAAAGCCAGAAAAATGCTTAGTGGCATTTCCCCCAGATTTTAGAAAGATGTAATCTTTTTTTTTTAAACGGGTGCAACTTAACCAATTATATCAAGCAGTTTTAATTGACTAATGACTTATATTTAATAAAGCTATTATATGATTTTAGACTTAGAATATAGCACAAAAGACATTTGGCCTAACCTGGTCCCCATTTACTTTCATTGTATTGAAGAGAGCAGAAAGTCATACAGGAAAATAAAAAGTCATATGACTTTTGGAACAGGATGTGCATTTTTGGGTGAACTAACCCTTTTAATAGGTTATTTTAATAGGTTTCTTTGTCCAGTATTTGAGTGTAACTGCTCTGAATTGCTGTTATCTATTCTGTTTGCTGACATTTTACCTCCCTTTGTCTTCGTCTGCAGTTAAGGTGATGAAAGCCTAATTTGGTCTTCATTTTTGACTTCAGGGGCGATTAAACGAAAAGTGGAGCTGGAATGGGGCACAGAAGACATGGAATATCTACAGAAAGTGGAGCTTCATTCAGAAGGGGCACTGAATGAAATACGGCCTGACATCATCATATACAATGCAGGCACGGACATTCTTGATGGAGACCCTCTTGGAGGGCTGGCTATATCCCCACAGGTACAGCTGTCACTCATTCTTTCTTTCAGTCCACCATATCAGATCTGAGACGCACTGCTTCAACTCGGCAGGGTTTTCTAGCCTGGTCAATAAACTTCTGTATCAATTATTCAGAATGAATGGGCAGTAGTGCTGAAAAACGTCTTAATTTTGAAGATTTGGAGGGAGATTAGAAGAAAGACTTTTTATTAAAATCATATATAGTGTATTAATGGTGACAGTGTTTGATATGCCTGCACATGAGGTTACCCTATGCCATTGTGACCTATTATGCCTCATAAATCAAATGCTATCAGCAAGTTTATGTACTTTTTGTATTTCACTTGCACATTATTGAATTTTCATTATTAAATGTTTATGTGAAATTTTATACTCTGCAAAAAGCATTTTCTTAATCATAGCATCTCGCTATAATAGCGAGTCCAATTCTTGCTATTAACAAAGCATTAACTACAACTTTTTACTCTATAAACTACTAATTTGCTGCTTATTACTAGTTAGTAAGGTAGTTGTTAAGTTTAGGTATTGGGTAGGATTAAGGATGTAGAATATGGTCATGCAGAATATGTGCTTTATAAGTACTGTATTTATAAACAGCCAATATGTTATTAATAGGCATGCTAATAAGCAACTAGTTAATAGTGAGAATTGGTCCCTATACTAAAGTGTTACCTAAATTTAAATAATCTGTGAAACAATATTAACTTAAGAAAAAAGTGCATTACACATTAAGACTTGTTTTCAGATAATTTTTGACTTTTTTTCTTGTTTTAAGCAAAAACCTTTTTATGCTCAAGTTGGAAAATAAACCAGTAAACCTTATTTTACTTAACTCTAAAGAAAGACACCAAATACATTAGCTTAGCTATTTGAACCAATTCATTTGAAACTTCTCACATGTGGCATTTTTTAAACTAATTTCAGATTGATATTTTGCTAAAAATTACTCCTTACATATGAAGCCATGTTTAACACTGAATAATACAAAAATATTCTCTCCCGTCTTTCAGGGTATCATAAAGAGAGATGAGATCATCTTCAGGGCAGCCCGGCGACGAGGAATCCCCATCCTTATGGTGACGTCAGGGGGCTACCAGAAGAAAACCGCCCGCATCATTGCTGACTCCATCCTGAATCTGCACAGACAGGGTTTGATTGGTGAAGAGGCTGTAGAGGGTGCAGGACCCTCACATGTACCGCTCATGATGAGCAAATCTGTGTCATTGGGGGCCACGTTCAGTGCCATTTAAACTCTCCTGATCTTGGACCTTGTCAAGTGTGTCAGACACACTGTTAATTTATCTAATGCAAACATTTAGAACTAATATATAATGTTCTGGTCAGGGATCTAATGGTTTGGTGGTTTGGACCGAGATTGACTCAGGATAGTTTTCGTAGTTCATCGATTTGAACTATTTAACTCGTACGTTGCATTTTTTGTGATTAGATTTGGAGTGAAATTTTGAAATTGGGTAATATTTTCAACTTTTTCATAATTTCTTAAGGGTAAGCAATGCTTGTTTGCACATTCAATTTTCAAAGGAATAGTTTACCCCAAAATAAATTCTGTCAGCATTTGCTCACACTCATTCCAAATCCATTCAGTTTTATTATATGGAAAAGAACATTTCTCATTTTGTGTTCCACAAAAGAAAGACAATGATACAGGTTTGGAATGACAGAATTTTCATTGTTGGGTAAACCTTTTTAATTGGTGCCCACAAGTTGGGCATTGGAAGGGATATGATTTCTTCTCAATTTGAAATTTAAAAAACAAATCTAAGGGATACTGTACATTAATACATTCCTCTAGAAATCCCCAGTTTGAGATCCACACAAGAAAAATAGACCATATGCCAAGAGTTGATTTTATTGAGGAATTTGCGTCAGCTGCAACACTATATTAGATTTATTCAAAATTAAATTATGGCATTATGAATCAATTTTGGATGCATTACAGAGTCCTCCTTGCATCGACCTGCTCTGCTATCACACCTTAAATTATTCTGTGCCATTAAATGGAAGTTGCTCTTAAGACCTGCTTTTGTGACCCGTTGGATTTAGCAGCACGCAGGAATTCTCATTTGTGTGCATCAGCAGGTGGACCACTGTCAGGCTGAGTGCTTTCTATCATATTACACTTGGCAGGCTTTTGAAATGTCTTCAGGCTGAGGCCGGGGCTCTCTCTATTAGGAAATGAAACTCTTCATTGGAGATTTTGAGAGATACTGCAGTTGGTTACCAGTGACAGTTCTAAAGCCGTGATCTTGTCTGCCTCAATTTAACAAAATGGTTCCTGTCATCTAGAGAATAAGTAGGAGATGATGACACTGGTTTCTTTTTTTGTTCAGATTCTAAATTCTAGTTTGAAATCTAGATTCTCAGATTTTGACTTTGTTTTTGTTTTGTGTTTTTATTTTTAGACATCAAGTGTAGAACAGTCTACTATTTTTACTCAAGGAGTTCATTACTCCACACAGATTTATATTATAAGCTTTTATTTAAAGGTATGATTCACCCAAAAATGAAAATTCAATCATCATTTATTTAGCCTCATGTTTTTTCAAATCTGTTTGACCTTTTTTTTTTTTCTTGTGGAACATTAGTATTTAGGACATGATAGGAAGAAATATGAGATGGGAAGAAAAAATTACATATCAATGCTTTTGTGATCACTCACAAGACTATGTAATAATATGATAATATGTGGAAATAATATGAAGTGGGGGGAAAAAAACTATACTGTATTTCAGTGCTAATGCAAGTGAATGTAAAGTTTCTTGGGGGAATGTTTTGCAAGTAAGTGCAAAGTTTTTTAAGGTGTGCAAAAGAAGCATAAAGTTTCTTCAAAAATTTTGCAAGTGAACATATTGTTTCTCTGGGAATGCAAAAGTTTTTCAAGCGAATACAATTTTTCCTGTGGGAACACAAAATGTTTGCAGATGAACACCAAAGCATTGAATATAACTTTTCTTTACAGCTCATATTTTTCCATCACAAACAACTGGTTTCTATCCACTTGTGTAAAATAGAGCCGCATGAACATTTTCTAAAGTATCTCCTTTTTTGTTCTGCAGAAAAAAATCCCATAATGAGGTTGAGTAAATTAACTATCTCTTTTATGTAGTTTTATTTCAAGCTCAAGGCTGGTATTCAGAGGGTTGTCTTCTTAAGGAGCAAGTTAGGAGTTTTGTGGTAGGCACTTATCCTCAGGTTGCAGGGGTAATGGTCATTGCTCTGTTATGTAGCGACATTGTGTGAAATTTGTAGAAACTAATTCCTCCGACCTTGTCCATAAAGATTTGCTGTGAGGTGCTAGTGAACCTCCAGACCTTACTGCACTAAATTGCTCTAAGAACACAGAATAAAGTAAAAACATTGCTCTGTTCCTTTGAGCATCCCAACCACCCCTAAATAGCAAAATTGCATGAGCCAATGGCGTGATTATTTAAATCGCATACTCTCTAAATAGGTGATTCTTTTGATTAAGTAATTACTTGGTAACAATTACAAAACTATGTTCTAGATAGTAAAAATGTGTGTAGTGTGGATGTAATCTGGGCGTCATCCAGGCACTATTGGCGTACTGTTTTATGAATACTGTGACTTCGGACACACTACTTCGTTTGCCTACTATACAGTTGGGAAGTTTGCGATTTCGGATGCAGCCAAAATATCTGGAGGGGCTAATGGTACAGAAACTATACACATCATGTTTAACAGTGAATTAACATGTAATTTTTAAAACCTATTGAAATAATATGATTGTTGTTATTTATTTTGTGATTTGTTTACAGTGATACCTCCCATTCCACGTATCATGGTTGGAGACTTAGGTTATAAAAGCACTAAATTAGTGAGGTGTTTACTCTTTTGGGAATGGCAAAATTTGAGCATTATGAAGGTTTTTTTAGGTCTTGGGTTGAGGATATTAGTCTCATATTGCACTCGGTGCTGGAGGGATCTTGGTAATGGACACTAATGAGTGTAGTAGGGCTCTTTTCATTTCCTTTTTCACTTTAATGAAAGGCGTCAAAAGGATGCGTATGGAGGTCACTTGAAAGACGTGAACCCTTTAGGTCTAGCTAGCAGTTTAATGGATCCGTACATGAAAAGGACCACCGTGGTCCTGCTTGAACAAATGACTTTCTGATGAGTATTTCATGTGCATAGGTTTAAATGGGATTTCAAACTTGCCTACTTCATTGGTAACATTTTGTTTTGGTTGATAACCTTGTGTACACCTTGAACACTAAACGTCTTATGCACTTATTGTGGTTTGTGCCACTTTATGAAACATGTATATTCAATTTATTCCTTTGTCTTGAATTATTTTTGAAATGTTATTAGTAACTCATTAATCATATCTTGTCTATTTAAACCTGTTTTTATGTATAAAATACTTCACTACTTGGGTAATATACATTTATACAAATCTATAGAGATGGTGCTTTGTTAACATATAACAAATGTGCCAAATGTCTTGATGTTGGGTTTGTCATGTTGTTTTTTACCTGGACCATTTATTTAATGCCATTTCCATGTAAGAACAGGGAAAATAAATCAAGTCTAACAATGCAATTACCGAAGACCTCATGTTTATTGTATACTATATCTGTTAACACTTCATATGATTTATATGACTTTGCTCCATCAGCATGACATCTTCAAACACCTGCTGGTTTATTGTTCGAAAGCTTCGCCACAACCAGAGAAGATTCATGTTGAAAGCAAGTGCTGAGCGGCGGGACAAATGTGCTGTATTATTCATCATCTCTGCTTTCAGTCTCTTTTGTTAGTGTGTTTGTTTTGCAATGCAAAAGCAGATATCATCTACTTATACTGACGTTTCAGCATGTGTGTTCCCAGGGAATCAGACCCATGACCTTGGCTTTGCGAGTGCCAGTTGAGCTGAATGCCCATGACGTGGATATGCTTTCAAAAGGTGAATGATTTGCAACCATTTATTCTACTTGATACAACTTTTTTCCAATGTAAAAGCCAAAAACTACTCCCACTTCTGTGAGCTTTCCGGTATGCCAACCGTGTGTATGTCCCTCCCGTACTCCACCTTCCAATGATGTCATGAGTTATTTCAGGAGGTGTCTATGACTCAGCGATCAAATGTCCAGAGCCCACTGACGTCATGTGAGCTGTCCGTCTGAGAGCTACAAAAGCAGCTCAGATGTCTCTATTCAGAATCCCCATCGCCACCGTTTTACAGGCTCTCATTAACGGCTGCTATGCCCTGTTTACATAGTCTGAGGTAATGAGTATGGGTCCCTTGTTTCTTGCTCTTCAGCCTGATTAAGGACTTTCTCGGTTGTTCTTTGAAGGAGAGATGCTAGAGTGGTCTTGACTCATTTAGGCATGGTTATGGGGAAGCTATGAATCCTTGAGATTACTTTTAAGTGGCATTGAACGAAAATGCAATGTTGTTGGATACTGAGTGCCTGGCGGGACTGTTTAGTCGCATGTGTCTGCATTTATTGATTTATTTTAATACATTTAATTTATAAACAAAGTTTACAGTTTTACTGTTCAGTCACTCATGGCTTGAACTTTATTATATACGGTTGTTGAATTGAATTCAGCTTTGGAAACAACCTACAATCTCTGTTGAAGTCTCAGGGGGGCTGTTTAGCTCCATGTGAAGCAGTTTAACCTTCTAAATGTACTCCCAGGAGGAATTTTTACTGAAGTTACTTTAAGCGGGAAGAGATGTTTGATCTCAAGAATGTGGTGAGGACATTATCAAATTCCATGTATTGGTAAATAAAGGATCTGTTCACCCAACAATGAACATTTTACTTTAATTTAGATATTTGGTGGAACGTCCAAGTTTTTTTTTTTTCATGCAATGAAAGCAGATGGTGTTTTTTACTGCCATGCCCCAATAAGGACAAAAAACAAAATCAGTCTAGAAACACTGTTCAGGTCTTTTGAAGCCATACAATAAATTGCCTGTGTGTTAAACTGATGTAGTCTTTAAACACATTTGACCAATTATCTGTCACGTGACCAGTCACAAAGTGGCAAGTTTGAAAAATGCAACTGCAAATGAAATCTGATAGCTACCACAGAGACTTAAATGTTGGGCTGTTCCTGACATCTGTCATATTCAAAAGACTTGAAATAGAGTATTTTTACGGTCATTTTATAGTGCTTTTTGTCAGTTTTAGAGCTTGGCACTGTAAATCCACTTTCTTTGTATGGAAAACTCAAATCTTTTGTTTTTCACAGAGTAAAGAAAATGATAGTGGGGTGGAATGACATCAGGGTGAGTCTAAACAAAATATTAATTTTTGGGGGGGAACTATTCTTTTAATATTAGAAATCCACCCTTCTGTGGTTCAGAATCTTACTCTCTGGTTCACAATATCAGGAGGAGATGCAAGGCAAAAATTGTAGCGAGATGTTAACTCGGCCAAAAGTGCACAGCCCCTCTCCAGACGAACTGAGGTGGGAGATCTTCGCTCTTGGCCAATTTAACACCTGACCACCATCCATTTCCCACATAGAACGAGATGACACCATTAAGGAAGGCCACTCTTTTCCCCATGCTACTCTCTGCAGGCTGGATCAGCTCATCCACTGGTATAATGGCTAACACCCATTAAGCTGTGCATATCGTAAAGGCAATTCAATATAGATGGAAATGAGATTAGACTGTGTTATTAGATCGCACTTTTCTAGTTGGGCTAAGGCAGCGGGCGCCCTGTTACTATTCAAGGCTATTCT